GTGTGAATGAAGAAATAGGTCTTCAACAGGGCTCTAAAAGTATAATATAGCGAGTGCCTCGTGAATTTCAGAACTTTCCAGCATGATAGACGGATACTTAATCGGAACACCTTTCTTATGTTGTTATTCTTTTCTGTTCCTAAAATATTCCCAGTTTATGCCCTTGAGCTGTCATGCAATTAATGTATATGGTCTCCTATATATACATGTTGTAATATTTAGCAAAGCAATTCTGTGCCATCTATTAGAAGTCCTTTGCCTTCAAACTGAAATCAAACCAATTGTGCTGTGCTAGTCATGCTGCTGATAGTTGAGCTTCTTTGGCTAAGGCTGCATTATAAGCAGCTCCTAGGTCATCACTTTCACCATCATACCACACGGCCTCTTATATTGATTATTTCAAATGTAGATTTGGCTGTATTTGGCAAAGGACTTAAATAAATGTGCAATCTCAACAAAGGCAGTGGAGCAGCAGACAAAGCCATCCTGTCTTCTGCTGCTTCTGTCTTTAGCATTAGCAACACGATAGGCCCTTTCCTTGGTCACAGCTTACATTTAACTGAGGGACGTAAAAACAACTTTGATACTTATCAATGTCCACAAGTAGCGTCACTGAAATCTACTTCCAGCTTAGGACCAGTTTACACTACTGTAGTTGCAAAGCTGAAATAGGCACACAGTTTTTGCATGCGCTTCGAGTCCTCCCTCTTGTGGTCAAAACCATGCGCTTGCCTCCTGTCCGTAGATGGTATCTCTCTCTGCCTTTAGGTTAACTTGCTGGCACTTGCTTTTTCCCTGCCTTTCTTCCAAGTTGGTCCTTACATACAGAAAACTTGACAGGGTTTGTATCAACCTATGAGTTTCCTTTATCTGATATTGGGGAAAACGAAACTTTAACTGGACGCTCATAAGTAAGATGCTTTGGTCTCTTGACTTACTAATTTCTAAATAATTTTGTTTTGTTTTAAAAGATAGTGATAGTGCTCTTGTACGGTTGCAGTAAGTAGGCAATTGGGAGGCACAAGCATAGTCCATGAGCTGAAATTCTGGAATCTGAGTAAATCTGCTGGGTAGTCCAGCTAGAAGGCAGTTGTGAGAAGAACTGAGTCTATAATTCCATTCTTCTAGGAATAGTCATTCCTGAGAAACCCAGACTGAGAATTGTTGAGAGAGCGCCAAATTTGCCTAAGGTTAGGCGAGAGTTTAAGAATTTGCGTGACATCCGAGGTCCTTCTACAGAAGCCACAGAATTTACTGAAGGCAATATGGTATTTTGGTGAGTAAGAGTCGTCTTGGTGTGGTTTCATAGTCGAATAAAACAAAAGTATGAGACGATAGCAATTGGATGTGAAAGAGGAGATCCCCTTTTCCAATTTTCAGACAATTTGTCTAATCATGGTCTTTCTTGCCTGAATTATAAAAATCTCCCCCCTCCCCGCGCGCCTGCAGGCTATGAGTGGTGGCTATCTCCGCTGGACTCACTTTGAAATGATGCACCTGAGTATTAATCGGCACATGAATTCCAAGACAATGTTTGCTGTATGGAGAGTCCCTGCTCCGTACAAGCCCATTACCCGGAAGGGACTAGGACACCGCATGGGTGGTGGGAAAGGTGCAATTGATCACTATGTGTCCGCAGTGAAAACAGGTCGACTCATAGTGGAAATTGGTGGGCACTGTGAGTTTGCTGAAGTGAAACACTTCCTAACTCAAGTGGCCAAGAAGTTGCCTTTCCAAGCCCAAGCAGTCAGCAAGCAAACCCTTCAAGAGATGCAGGACAGAGAAGAGGAGAGGCAGTTTAATAACCAGAATCCATGGATGTTTGAGCGCATTGTTACCGCCAATATGCTGGGAATACGGAAATATCTGAGCCCCTATGACTTACAATACAAGGGTCGCTACTGGGGCAGGTTCTACCTGCCCGACCGGGTATGAGTGGAGACTTGTGGAACCTGATTTGCTCCAGCAATTCTTTGGAAACCTTGTCTTTCTCAACAGAAGATATTTGTGGGTGAAGCAACAAGTGAGTGGCTCTATATGTGAAAGTCTGATAAATATGGAGGGTGATGGAGTGGTGATGATGATGTAGAACTTGGGATCCATCAACTCAGCATGGAAGCTTGCTACAGTGTTTGACATTTAGACCAAGATCACCTGGCCTTGGATTAATCTGACAAATTCCAATGCATCTTTGAATTGGGAAGAACAGCGGAGACAGAATTCCCAAAGTCTGGTTTAAATATTTGAATGCCTAATGACTTTGGTAAAGAAATTATCTTCCATGATTCCTTTTAAGGCTGGAGGCATTTTTCCTGTAAGCCAGATATAGGCCACTGGTCAGGGGGCACACTGGGCATTTTGGAACATTTTATGGGAATTATTTCCTATTCACAAAATGGCTGCTCTTTCCCAAAATAATATTTTTCAGAAAGCAAACCAGTGAAATCACCCCCCAGCCTTCTAGTATACCCTTGTCTTTGGGCAAGTGTGCACCTCC